CGTTGGTTAGGTAAAGCAACGTTCGTAAATTGGTTGAACACCAGCAGTTGGGCCGCATATGAGCAGCATTGGCGTCCCGAGAGGACCGTAGGAATCAGTCGTTCACATTGAAATGAACGAATGACTTGTTGCATCGATCTTTCTCTCGATGTGAACTCTCTCGAATCTGTTATAAAAATTTGAGGAGAATTACTCACTGATTGTGAGGTTTAAACTGGAACCCCCAGTCCATGATTGGACAGGACTGGCTCTTGGTGAATATGGATCTGGTTGAGATGCCTTGAATCCATAAACTTCTTATATCCGCCCCTCAACCTAGTCGCGCTACGCAGAGTATTCGGGGGTCTCGCTGCCCGGTCAGCGAGCTGGGGGTCCAGGGGGCGGTGCGCCCCTATCCAGGGGGTCCGGGGGGATGGAATACCCCCCGACGGGGTTCGGGGCAGCGCCCCGAAGCTCCACGATATATACCAGGTTCGGTATTGGATTTCGTCAACTGAACGCATGCCTGAGCTTCAGGTTTTGCTGATGAAACGCATATTTGAGAGTTGCGTTTATTTTGTGGAACGCACCCCTGAGGGTTGCGTTCATTTTGTGGAACGCACCCCTGAGGGTTGCGCTCAGTCTTCTTCACACAGAGCCTATGTTTGGGCTCATAGACGCGAGTTCTCGCGAAGCTCCTGTTCGGGCTCATAGACGCGAAGCTCAGGGTCGCGTTCAGGCTCACGAATGCGAAGTTCGCGTTGGTTGGAGGATCGATTTTCTCGAAGTTGTGCTCGTCGCTGAGACCTTCTTCTTCGACGAGCAGCGTTCTTCTTGGCCTGTTTCAAAGCCTTAGCAGCAGCGTCGTTGACGTTTATGGAGCTCGTCTCCTTTATAGGCCGTTTAAGGCCTGTGGCACGTCGTGTTGACGCGGAGGTGGGATATTCAACTCGCTGTGCGAGTTCAGCAGAGGTCGAGCCCGCTCCTGGAGCGGAGGGGCTGTTCGACGAATTTTGGCCAAAGGAGAGGACTTTCTTTGGTGTTCCAGCAACAGTTGGAGATTTAGTCTCCTTGGAAACTTTGTGGATCTTGCGCATAGCCTTGGGGCTAAGGGATCCAGAGGAGATAGCCTTCTCAAACTTGGCTTGATCAAACTCTACCATGAGAGTTTCGATGATTGTTCCAGTGAGATGAACATCGGATTGCGGCACCACTTCTTCATCAGAGAAGCTCGTCCCCAGCAGAGTCGCCATCTTTTGTATGTAGGAAAAATTGCAAAGAAGAGAATAAAGAAAATTGATTTGTATTCCTTTTGATCTCGATTACAACTTGATTACAAAAGAGAGGAGAACGAAATTGGCTCTTCCTCTTTGTTTAAAACTGGGTTCTTCACGGTGGCGATGGAGTGCCTCCCTCGAATGCTCGCGTCGAGTTTGCTCTCCGTTGACGATCCGCACGTCTTGATTCACTGGAACGATGTCTTCTCCTCACGATTTGACGTTGTGGAGAACTCTGAACGAGTTTTTAAAACTCTTGATGAGTTGATAACTCTGATCGAGTTTGAACTCTTGAAAAAGAGTTGATTTGAACCAAAAGTCGGTTATAAGCCAAGGACAGAGGTTTTTGACTTGGGAAACGCAAGTTGAAGTTCCGTTCACGAAGCTTGAGTCGCGATTTGGCTGTAAACGCGCCATTGAGGGCGCTTTCAGTCTGGTCTCCGCGAAGCTCATGTTTTGGGCTCATAAACGCGGAGTTCAGGGTCCGTTCAGGCTCACGAAGGCGAAGTTCGCCGTTTTTGGAGGACGATTTCTCGAAGTTTGATCGTCGCGGAGCCTTCTTCTTCGCGAGCCACATCTTCTTGGCCTGCTTTTTCTTTCAGCCTTAGCAGCATCGTCCGTTGACGTTTTATGGGCTCGCCTTATAGCCGTTTAAGCCTGGCACTCGTCTGTTGACCCGGAGTGGATATTCAACTCGCTGTTGCGAGTCAGCAGAAGTCGAGCCGCTCCTGGACGAGGCTGTTCGACGATTTTGCAAAGGAGAAGGACTTTCTTTGGCGTTCCAGCAACATTGAGATTAGTCTCGCTTTGGAACTTTGTGGATCTGGCATAGCCTTGCGCTAAGCGGATCCAGAAGGAGATAGCTTCTCAAACTTGGCTTATATCAAACTTCTACCATGAGAGTTTCGATGATGTTCTGAATGACATCGGATTGCGCCACCCACGTCTTTCATCAGAGAAAGCTCTCCCCAGCAGAGTCGCATCTTTTGTAGTAGAAAAAATGCCAGAAGAGAAGAAAGAAAAATTGATTTGTATTCCTTTTGTCTCGATTACAACTTGATTACCAAAGAGAGGAGAACTAAATTGGCTTTCCTCTTTGTTTTAAAACTGGCCGTCCTTCACGTGGCGATGGAGTGCCTCCCACGAATGCTGCGTCGAGTTTGCTCTCCGTTGACGATTCCTCACGTCTTTGATCCCCTTGAACATGTTTCTCCTCACATGACGTTGGAGAACTTGCGTGCAAGTTGGAACTCTGAACGATACTTTAGAAGAACTCTGTAAAAAGAGTTGATTGAACCGAAATCGTTTAATAAGCCAAGGCTAGAGAAGCTCTGTGTCATCGGTTGCTGAAAGATCAAGCCATCTCCTCCAAAACCTTTGCTGCCGAAGTCCAGACCGAAAAATGCCAGCCTTGCTGCTAACTCTTCCGTTTCAGAAACAGCCTTAACTCAGTTGCAGTTTACCCATATTTATAGGAATTAAGGGTGTAACGCCCCCTTACTTCGCTCCTAATGGTGACCGCCCCCCAATGTGGGAAGCGTTTTAGAATCGTTCAGACTCAGTTGATGAGTCAAACGCCCCCGTCGGTTCAGGACCCAACTTCGCCTTTAGAATTGAGACCGAGTGGTTGGCTAACACCAATGACGCGAGGGTCACTCGCGTTTTGCTTGTTGTAACGCGAGTTCACCTGGTTGGATTGTAAGCGGGCTTTTCGACCTTGGCGTTTTTGATGTTGTAACGTGGGTTCGACCCTGGCGTTTTGATGTTGTAACGCGGGTTTTGACCCTGGCGTTTTGATGTTGTAACGCGGGTTTTGACCCTGGCGTTTTGATGTTGTAACGCGGGTTTCGACCTTGGCGTTTTACTGTTGATACACGGGGAGGACCTCCGCGTCTTGCCTTTGTCATTGCGTTGCAAAGATCATTGTCTTGTAATCTTCGTCTTGGCTCCTTGAGAATATGAGAGTCGTCAGATTGTAACTCCCGATATTGATTGTGAAGGCCGTTGATTAGAGCTTTCATCAGTTGTCGTGAAGGTCGTCAGATTATAACCTTCAGCGATCTATGTGAAAGTCTTCAAATTGTAGTCTTCTGGAAGTCGTCAGATTGTAACTTCCATCATCGGTGTTTGATGGGGTATAAGCTATCTATTGTGATTTTTAGACAGCCTACAGAGATTTGTAAAAATCCAATTGATTCTCATAATCTAGAGAATGTATTTTCCTTCGCCCTAATTCAACTCTTGTGTTCTTCTGTCGTTTTCTTCTTTACCCACTCTTGATAATTCCGCGATCAAGAGTGCTCGCACGGCAACTCGTATCATTAATAACCCCTGATAGCAAAGCAAGAACAAGTAGACTCTCTGTAGTATTAGTCCAAGTGCGAATACATGCTCTTATTAGTGAACTTCTTTTGACTTCTAAAAAAAAGAGGCAATTGGAGGTCTATCATCGCCAAATAGAACTATAAGGTGTCCACCCGTCTCCTCAAATACTTTTAACAATTTGAAGTGTCAAAAAAAATTCACTAAAGAGATCTATTCGCAATAAACAAGACTATAACAGTTCTATTTATAATTGGGTGATACTACAGTGGGTGTTTTTGCAATTAATCCTTTTTTTAAGTAGAGGCATGAAAACCAATGAGGGGATACAACAGGGTGTAACCATTGTTTTTGTTACAAGTGCTAATCTCATTTTTCAGGCATACTGCTCTAAGAAGGACACGTGGCAGATGACCTGCCTTACTCTCCCTGTATATTGAGGCCGGACGAGAGAGCTAATACGTTCAACTGCAAGCTAGAATCCACATATAATGTCTTTTTTTTTTAATTTAATTTAATTTATTTATCATGTACAAACATTAACATAGTTCTAAATCTAAGAGGTTAGAATGTTGGAGACAATGAATAATTCTTACCTTTGTAAATGAATCATTCTTAAACTTAGTGAAGTTCAGGTCCAAGCATTTTCCCCAAAAGAAATGTAATAATTCAACAAACTTGATAAGGTGACCACCAAGATTACATCCTATTTTCAATCATGGTTTCATTTCTAGTGAGTTTTCATCATGATTGTGTTCTATTTTCAGTCCATATATCTCATGTTTCCCTTCTTTAAATGCTTTGATTCATGAGCTATAGGTTAAAACAATTTATTTGCTGTTCTTTACTTTTAATCATTTGTTCTCTACCTTAAAAATTTTATTTCCATTAGCTCTTATTTTGGCTCTTTTCGTTTGGTTTCTATGGAAACCCACGCCCCCAACTTAGTAATTTATACAAACAAGAAGACCAATTCTCTCTCTCTCTCTCTCGTCTTCGATCACCTCTCCTATTATTATTGTCTTTGCCTGTAAATACAAAAACTCCTCTTTTTTATTTTTTTTCTTCTCCCATTATTCATCTTTATTTTTCTTTGTTAACCACTACTTGTTGATGTCTATATAGAGTGTTGATTTCTGATAGTGAAACCTCCATCCACATGACACACTTCCTCTCACTCTCATCACCACATTATACTCACCATTGTTTTCACCTCACTCTGTTTCTCTAATAATTGTTGGCCAAGAGAGATTGAAAGCAGTGATGGGGATAGAAGGAGAGAATGATGAAGTAAGCCCTTCACCCGACGAAATGATCGAAAACGATGAACATGGATCCAATGAGGAAGCAGCCTCCGGTAGATCAGTAGAGAAGGAAGGAGGTGGCTGCGATGATTCGAAACAGAATGAGATCAATTACTCGATTCCATTCTATAAGCTGTTCCTGTTTGCTGACTCTTCAGATGTCCTTCTAATGGTTGTGGGAACATTTGGAGCTCTGGGAAGTGGGGCTGCAATGTCTCTCATGGCAGTGCTATTTGGGAACTTGATTGAATCTTTCGGAGGAGATAGCGATATGCATGAGGTGGTTCACAGAGTTTCTGAGGTATGCATTTGACAACATACATATAGATACATACATATGTTGGGGAATTTTACTCTCCCCACCTATTACTATATGCGCAACTCCGAAGCTAACCCACAATCAATAAGATATAAAACGATTACAATCAAGAAAAAAACACCGGGATTTACGTGGTTCGGTCGACCAACTTCGACCTACGTCCACAGGACAACAATACGAGAAATTCACCATGTATCAGGGAGAACTACATGAGGAATCACTCAACTCTCGTCTCTCAATCTCTCAACCTCACATACATAATCAACTCTCACATTCTTTCCAAAATCCACTCATTGTAATCTTTTGCACGGATAAAGATCATGAAACTCTCGCCTCTCACACAATATTCTTGAATCAGGCTACACCCTCTGATAACCGTAGATTACAAGAATATTGACTCTCTCTAGTACATCTTCTCTCTGCTCGCTTCATCTTCTTTTTTCTCCAACAATAGAAGAATATATATTAGGAAAACCAAAACCCTATCTCTAGCCTACCAAAACCCTATCTCTAGCCTAACTTCCTAATTAGAATAGGATTCAAACTCCTAATCATGATGGAACTCAAACTCCTAATTATGATGAATTCCAAACTCCTAATCATGATGAAATCCAAATTCCTGATCATGATAGGATCCAAACTCTTAATCATGATAGATCTCTAACCCTATCTAATTCTCATGAAGTTATACAAAGAATCAAAGATAAAATCCTAACAATCTCCACCTTAAAGTTGATTCACAAACTCTTTTGAAGATATATCATCGTTGTCTTGAAACTTTACCTCTCCCGCTAGAGTCTTCTATTTCTTTCGCACATCAAATCGAAGCAGTCGCACTCCAACTGGAACGTCCCGTGACCCTCGATATCATCTGCTTCACCGTGGCGCCTCCATCTCTCTTGTGTGCACCAAGAGATCTTCGCCACATCTGACAATAAAAGCAAATCAATCATGCTTGTCCTCTCAACTTGAGCTTGACAATTGTCTCCCCATACTTGTTGTCCTTGTACTCCACCTGCATCGCTCGTCTCGAATCATATCGGTGCACCTCTCCTACTCCACACTACGAACCAGATGTCTCTATCTCCTCCATCACTTGGCTTAGACCGAATATGAGCGCTCATCGTCTTCAAGTCTAATGCCACCATCTCCATTACCCTGTGTGTCACTCGGTCATGCCAGCTTGCAAGCTCCATCTAATCTGTCACTGTCCTACTCGAGTCTACACACCAACCAACTACTGCTCACGCGATGGTTTTGAATAATTATATGCTGCCAACTCTACTGCTAGAACCACATCTGATTCTTTACGTCAGTCTCATCTGTCGCATATTCGTTTGCTCTATCTACCATCAGATCTGTCTTGTCGTTGAATAGCAGAATATCGAACTTCAGACCCAAAAAAAATCATCATTCTCTAACCACGATCAAAATTCAAATCAGCCATTGTAGATATTAAACTTGATAAAACCGACGCCAAAAACGAACTCAACACGTCGAAAAACCCTAGAACAACTCTTGGATCACCAAAATCCGCCTCCAAATCCTCGATCAAAAGACAAATCAATCTCAACTGTTGGATCTGTGTGAACAGTACCCGACGCACCGCTACAGTTCTCGGTCGCTACATTATGACGTTGCTACAGTAATTTTTTTTTCTTTTTCTTTTCATCTTGATTCTTATAACGCCAATCTTCAATCTTGCACGACGTCTTCTTCTATCTTGTGAATTCGCTCCGCGATCCATCACCATCGCTCTGATACCACTTATTGGGGAATTTCACTCTCCCCGCTTACTACTATATGCACAACTCTGAAGCCAGTCCACAATCAACAAGATATAAAACGACCAAAATTAAGAAAAAAGAACACCGGGATTTACATGATTCGGTCGACCAACTTCGACCTACGTCCACGGGGCAACAATACGAGAAATTCACTATGTATCAAGAAGAACTACATGATGAACCACTCAACTATCATCTCTCAATCTCTCAACCTCACATACATAATCAACTCTCATATTCTCTCCAATGCCCACTCCTTATAATCTTTTGCACGGATAACGATCACGAAACTCTCGCCTCTCGCACAATATTCTTGAATCAGGCTACGCTCTCTGCTAACCCTAGATTGTAAGAATATTGGCTCTCTCTCTACTACATCTTCTCTCTACTCTCTTTTTTTTCTCCAACAATAGAAGAATATATATAGGGAAACCAAAACCCTATCTAGCCTAACTTTCAAATTAGAATAGGATTCAAACACCTAATCATGATGGAACCCAAACTCCTAATCATGATGAAATCCAAACTTCTAATCATGATAAAACCCAAACTTTTAATCATGATAGCTGTCTAACCCTATCTAATTCTCATGAAATTATACAAAGAATCAAAGATAAAATCCAAACAACATACACTGCATATATACGTATGTGTGTAGATTAAAAAGGATACTGGACATATTCCATTCCTATCCGATAAGATACTGATAATTGGATATTGAATATTTATATCCAATACAATAGGATACGCAGATCCATTTCGATCAGACAATCGAAATTGTTTTGACCTTTAGCTTAATGGACCCGTCGCAACTTTTTTGTTGATCGCGAAATCTAATTTTAGCCATTTAGACATGTTGAAAACATTGTTAAACTCTGATTTAAGAAATTTTGTTTGGCTCTATGTTACTTGATCTTGTTGGTTCCTCTCATTTACTCTTTTTGCGATTGTATATGTTTCCTCCCTCCCATTTGATTTATATCTATATTCTATTTTCGCGGATATGGTCAGTGAGTTTTCCTTAACCAGTCATGTCCATATTTGTATCCATATCCTTGATTAGGAAGCAAGTACTGATATGTACCGTATTGAACTGCACCCCTCTTTAATATAGGCAGACCCCACATTGATTTCTCGAGCAAAGCAACCGAAACCTGATGAACATGACACCAGTTATTAGTTCATCAGAATCATAAGCTCATATCACTGCCGTGCCAACTTACGCAATTGGCTTTGTTCCTTTTGATAAACGAATAATGAGGACATCTTTAATTCTGTAATAAGCATACCATTGATCATTGACCCTCATGTCCCTTGGCGGATGGATTAATCATAAGTTTCACTATATGTAAGTATCACCATGAAAGAACTTTGAATTTCATAATGATACATTATCACTAAGTACTTACGCTCATTCTTTCAGGTATGCCTTCAGTTTCTCTACTTAGCTGTAGGATCTGGAGTAGCTTCATTCTTTCGTAAGCAATTCGCTCCAACTGCGTACACAAAATGCATCTGATATCTGTATTTTTTTCCAGCACACTATACCGGAACATTTGTGTATTCAATCCTATGGTTTTTCTTAATCAGAGGTGGCTTGTTGGACGACGACCGGAGAGAGGCAAGCTGCTAGAATAAGGAATCTGTACCTGAAAACAATATTAAGGCAGGAAATAGCATTTTTTGACAAGGAAACAAATACCGGAGAAGTTGTTGGGAGAATGTCAGGTGACACTGTTCTCATTCAAGAAGCCATCGGGGAAAAAGTAAACACTTCATCCCTAAAGACTTGCAATTAACTTCGAACGATTCTGTTGCTATCACTTAGCAACCGGTACTTATATTGCTAAAGAGAAATTAATGGGTGGAGATTTATCAGAGCCAAGGTTTACATGTTTTTTTTTTCCTCTTTGCTACCACAAACTATTTTTTAAACACTTTTGATACCCCCATCCAAATTTCATTAGATTTTCTGTTAAATTTGTATCACACGCTCAGACAACAATTGGTTGTTTGGATCTCTAGCCATTGGGTGATATGGACCTAAACATACAGATATAACATGAAATCTAAGGAAAGCTGGATGGAGGTATCAATTTAAGTGAAATGAATACCGGTACTGTGTTAAAAAAGAATATTTTGAGGTACTAAGGTGAAAAAATGAATAAAACTTTGGGGTACCAAATTGAAAATAAACTGTTCGTGAATGTCAAACTTATGACCGTTCCGAACAATGTAATAAGAATCATCAAAATCCGTTAATATAGAAGCTTTCCTTATTCATTTTCTTACTCTCACAGATTGGCAGGTTCCTTAGGCTACTGTCAGGTTTCTTTGCGGGATTTATAGTTGCATTTATTGAGGGGTGGCTTCTAACTCTTGTAATGCTAACCACTATTCCTCTGATTGTGGTGGCGGGGGCAGCGATGGCCACAATAATATCGAAGATGGCATCGAAACAACAGGCAGCTTACGCAGAGGCTGCGGTCGTGGTAGAGCAGACAATTGGTTCGATCAGAACAGTGAGTGCTATATGAATTGTTATATCCATAAAATTTTATGCAGAGGTTGTGGTCCATGTTGTGGGGTTTTTTTTGTGGAGGGAGGGGGGGGGGGGGGTTCATGTGAAATTCACCCTAGACTTGTGACCCTTAATCTTCAACATAACTCTAGGTTTCAGCATACTGAAAGAAGAGAGATGTTATCAGAGTCCATGTTTAAACCTTGGCAGACTCAAATTTAAAGTGGGAGCTTAGAAAAACATATTGCTGCATAGAATATAGGCGAAACTTTTGAGTAGTGTAAGGGTGTATAAGATGAATATATATAGTAGATGATATTTTGTATTTAGTCCCCAAAAACATTATTGATGTTTAACGTGTTTCTTGCCCAGGTCGCATCTTTTACTGGGGAGAAACAATCTGTAGATAAATATGGGAAATCTCTAAAGAGCGCGTTTGAGGCTAGCGTTCAAGAGGGTCTTGCTTCAGGACTAGGCCTTGGTACTGTAATGCTCACCATGTTTTGTGTGTACAGTTTGGGATTATGGTATGGCTCAAAGTTGATATTGGACAGAGGCTACACAGGCGCCGACGTAATTAGTGTGATATTTGCAGTCCTCATTGGATCCTTGTAAGTGTCTAATCCATCACTATGGTAGTTTTAGACAAACACGTGAGCTTTTATCCTCTTTTGCCAAGGTTTTTTATTCTTTTTTTTTTGTGCTCTCTGTCCATCTATATACTTGCAAACCCTGTCAATTTCCACCAAAACATGCTCATTTCTTCAAGTATGTGGCCATATCTTCAGCTCTTTAGGCCAGGCTTCTCCATGTATAACAGCATTCGCAGCAGGGCGAGCTGCAGCATACAAAATGTTCGAAACAATCAACAGAAAGCCAGAGATCGATGCTTCTGACCCCAAAGGAAAGAAACCGGATGGCTTTCGAGGAGATATAGAATTCAAGGATGTTTACTTCAGCTATCCAACAAGACAAGATAACCAAATTTTCCGCGGATTCTCTCTATTTATACAAAGTGGTACGGCTGTTGCTTTGGTCGGAGAGAGCGGAAGTGGGAAATCTACAGCAATAAGTCTGATAGAAAGGTTTTATGATCCACAGGCAGGTGAAGTTCTTATTGATGGTATAAACCTCAAGGAGTTCCGTTTGAAATGGATCAGAGGTAAAATAGGACTAGTGAGTCAAGAGCCTGTACTGTTTGCTTCGAGCATTAAAGACAATATATCTTATGGAAAGGATGGCGCAACAAATGAAGAGATCAAAGCTGCAGCTGAGCTTGCTAATGCTGCCAATTTCATAGACAAAATGCCTCAGGTCAAATACCTATATCATTCTTCAATAAAAATATTTAGTAACTGAAATTTTGACAGATAGGAATTGGTGTTTAGGGACTTGACACCATGGTCGGCGAGCATGGAACTCAATTATCAGGTGGTCAGAAACAAAGGGTTGCGATTGCAAGAGCCATTCTGAAGGACCCTCGGATTCTACTTCTTGATGAAGCCACTAGTGCTTTGGATGCAGAATCCGAAAGGATAGTGCAGGAAGCACTTGATAGAGTAATGGCAAACCGAACTACTGTTATTGTTGCTCATCGTCCCCCCATCCCAAATACAAACACACACCAAGTTTTGCTAGATAATCCCCCTTAGTCCCTGTCCGTGCACCTGAAATTCACATACGTCGAAATGACCAAAATGCACCTAAGGAAAAAGAAAATCTTGGTAGTTTTCACAAGCTGCCACTAAGTTTAGTCAAAATTTGAGACGAATTAATTATCAATTTAATTTAATTTATGATAGTGTTCATTATAAAAGAGTATTTTTGCCTTTTTACCAATTCATCTAACACACCATTACCAGGGTTAACTGAAAAGTTTGATTATTCCAAAATCAGCAAAACTTAAAAGGGGGTTTTGTGAAATGTACCTTAAATTTTCTCTCACTGTGGCATAATCTTATTATCCTGTATTCTTATCAGGTTCGCATGCAGAGCTACTGAAGGATCCAAATGGAGCTTATTGCCAACTCATAAGCTTGCAAGAAATGAACCAAACTTCAGATCAAGCGTCGCAAGCTGAGCTGGCTAGATCTAGTCTTTCATCCGACGGAGGGAGGCACTCTAGTCAACATATGTCTTTGAATCATTCCATCTCCCATGAATTATCATCTATAGGCCACAGCAGCCATCACTCTTTCTCAATAACAATTGGATTACCCGTAGGTTATGATGTCCAAGATATCAGCAAATCAGAGGGCAGAAGCAACGAAGACCCTGCAAAAAAAGCAAAGGAAATTTCCCTCCGACACCTTGCCTATCTTAACAAACCTGAGATCCCCGTGCTTACAATTGGTTCAATCTCTGCCATTGTTAATGGAACCATCTTCCCCATATTTGGAATTCTCCTATCAAATGCAATAACTACATTTTACCAGCCACCCCCAAAGATGATGAAGGATTCTAAGTTTTGGTCGAAACTGTTTTTAGTACTTGGTTTCGTTTCGTTCATTGGGTTTCCAGCTAGAACATATTTCTTCGGTTTAGCAGGATCGAGATTGATAAGAAGGATACGGCTTATGACTTTCGAGAAAATTGTGCACATGGATGTTGGATGGTTTGATGAGCCTGAGAACTCGAGTGGAGCGATCGGAGCTAGATTATCAGCAGATGCAGCGATGGTCAGGGGTCTCGTTGGCGATACTCTTGCTTTGGTTGTTGAGAATGCAACTACTTTAGTTGCTGGTCTGGTTATTGCCTTTTCTGCAAACTGGCAATTGACTATGATTGTATTGGCATTGTTGCCCCTCATAGGACTTAATGGGTGGATTCAGATAAAGTCCATGAAAGGATTTAGTAGCGATGCAAAGGTTTGTCATGATAACTCTATCAAAATCATTTATTTGAATATTTATTACTTCTATGATGGCATTCCTTCGTTGAGGTGAGAGATTGGGTGAAAGATATCTAAGACAATGCATACAAGATACAAAAACTAGAGATGTAATACTGCTAGATAGAACACCCGAAAAGTATTCCAGACAAATTTTCAGCAAAATATAAAATGTTGTTTATTGAGAGGAAGCATGAAAAGACTTTCTTAAGAGCCTTATTTAGTTCACAGTTTGATTGCAAATAGAATCATGAGAAGGTGAGGTTACCTGAAAACAACAAAATCTTTTACCATGAGATTTTGTGAGCAAATAATGGTGGTACTTCATGCCAAAGCAATAGACATGTGACCAAGATCACATTCTTGATTCTTCTCATATACAAAGTGTAGTTAAAGAACTGGGGAATTTCTGACAGAATTTAAAGGGAACTTGTGACAAATTGAAAGGTAAGGAAGTTATCTCAAAAATGCCCACACTTAAGGGTTCCAAAAATTCCCCTTAAGTTAGATCAAGAGTAATAAGTAATACCATCAAATTGGGGGGTTTTGTGACATTTTGAAAGTTAACTGGGTTTATATGAGAAATGCCCAAATGTGAGAGGGGTTTTGTGAAATTTACCCTACTTTTTTCTGGTTGTGCATATAATCTGATGTTGCTTTAATCATCCTAAAGAGAATCCGTGATATGGGCTAAAAGTACATGTCAACTCAACCGTTTTCCATCAAAATAAGGTAGCTACCTTCCGTTATTTAACAAAAGAAGCGTCCACAAATGAATATCAACCTGACTACAAAAACTTGCACTATCTTCATGATTATACCTTTTTTTTAAATTAGATGATAAAACTATGATAAAAATATGGACATTTTTCAAAATGGATGCAGATGATGTATGAGGAAGCAAGTCAAGTTGCAAATGATGCCATAGGAAGCATGAGAACAGTTGCTTCATTCTCGGCTGAAGATATGGTGATGGAATTGTATCGGACGAAATGTGAAGGACCTATGAGGACAGGAATTAAGCAAGGGTTTATTAGCGGTACTGGTTTTGGAGCATCCTTCTTTGTGCTCTTTTGTGTTTATGCAGCCTGTTTTTATGCTGGAGTTCACCTTGTAGAGGATGGAAAGACTACATTTGGAGAATTTTTTAGAGTATGTATCATTTTATAATTATGCTTTTAGATATTTACAATCATAATGCATTACTTTGAAACTTGTTGTAGGTGCCTTAGGTTAAACGAAATACTGGATTATCTAGTAACAGTAGCCATTACGAGTTTTTTAAACACTATCAATACTTCATCAACCTTTGGATTGGATATTCGACAATGTGATTACTATGTGATAATTATCAGCACTGAACACAGTATAAGAGCATAATTCACAGTCAGTTAAAATAAACCAAAGGTCAACTGGATATTAGACAACAAACAAACACTGGCTACTGCCATACATGTTCTACTACTAGATGAAAGCTCTAAGTTTTGTACTGAAACTATCTGGACATTTCTACGTACAAAATGAAATCCTGTCTCAATCACTATTGCAGGTTTTCTTTGCTCTTTCTCTGGCAGCCATGGCAATTTCTCACTCAAGCGGGCTAGCACCAGATTCTAGCAAAGCAAAATCTGCCACAGCATCTATATTTGCAGTTCTTGACCTAAAGTCTGCCATAGATTCTAGTGACAATTCTGGAATGAAATTAGAAACTTTGGAAGGAAACATTGAGTTTCGGCACATCAGTTTCAAGTATCCCACAAGGCCAGATATTCAAATCTTCCAAGATTTTTGCTTGTCAATTCAATCTGGAAAGGTTAGATACTGTATGTGAATTTTAAATTTCCTGATTGTTCCTAGAATAAGACTCATTATAGACTTTTAGTGATTAGTATGAGAGAAAGTGCTTGATTGAACTTTATCATTCTGAATCTGCTAATCCAAATTACACATAGCCTCCCTAAATCCTTGTCTCAATACTATTTCAGACTGTTGCATTGGTGGGAGAGAGCGGAAGTGGGAAATCAACTGCAATACAATTGCTACAGAGATTTTATGACCCCAATTCAGGTAAGATATCGATAGATGGGATTGAGATATCAAAGTTCCAGGTGAAGTGGTTGAGGCAGCAAATGGGCCTTGTCAGCCAAGAACCAACATTGTTCAATGACACTATTCGAGCCAACATTGCCTATGGAAAGGTAGGAGAGACTACCGAGGCTGAGATTGTTGCTGGTGCTGAGTTAGCAAATGCGGACAAGTTTATATGCAGTTTGCAGCAGGTTGGTTCTTGATTCATCAATTATAGCTAAAATTAATGCTAGTCTAAATTCCATAAGTCTTCTACTTTGTAGTCATATGTCGGAGTCAATACTTATATAACTTAAAATTTGGGGTTAATTTGGTCTCAATCTCTGTTTAATGTCCATTTATATCCCAAATGGGCAGATCTCTCCCCAACGATATAGAATAAATAGGATGTTTATAAGTAGATATATAGTCTATAATTTGTTAGTTGAATTCAATCAATTGTAAGTATAGGTTTATGATCTAACATATGTCAGTCTTGAGTCCCTGATCCATGAGTTGGTGCTATATATTATTGCTAGTCTAATTTCTCTCTGTATTTATTAGCAATTTGGAACTGAATCAAAACTTTTTTTTAAGAATAATGGTGGGTTAAACTTCTCGTGCTTCATCACTAAGGATTTAACGAAACATCTCTAGACATGAGAAAATGATGTTTCCCAGTCAAACACAAGACAGTATGTAAGCCACAAGAAGTTCAAAACAATTTTGTTCATGTAGGAGGCTAAGGGAAAGTAGTGTATTGTATCCATTCAGTTAAATGTGAGTTTGCTTTAAAAGAAAAGCATGAGGTGTTAAGGGAAAGTAGTGTATTGTATCCATTCAGTTAAATGTGAGTTTGCTTTAAAAGAAAAGCATGAGGTGAAATTTGTCCCACATTGGAAAGCTTTAAAAGAAAAGCATGAGGTGAAATTTGTCCCACATTGGAAAGAGAGGCCTTTCCAACCCTAACAATAACCGAATGGAAAAAATAAATAAATAAAATCATTTACCCTCAATATTAGTATATGATTTAAGGGCACAACTCAGTTCTAAACCTTTAACAAGGATTATTTGAGCTACTAATGGATGGATAGGTATTGTCACTTCGATGGAAAATATACCCCTTGGCATATAATCTAACATCTGTTCTTGCAATTTTTTTATTTTTATTTTTGGAATTACAGGGCTATGACACAATGGTTGGAGAACGAGGGATTCAGTTATCGGGTGGTCAGAAGCAACGTATAGCAATTGCACGTGCCATCATAAAGGAGCCCAAGATCTTGCTCCTTGATGAAGCAACTAGTGCATTGGACGCTGAATCTGAAAGAATAGTTCAAGACGCTCTAGATCGAGTTATGGTCAATAGAACCACAATAGTCATCGCTCATCGACTGTCTACAATCAGAGGTGCTGATATTATTGCTGTAGTTAAGAATGGTATGATTGTAGAGAAAGGAAAGCATGAGGCTCTGATGAATATCGAGGATGGGGCTTATGCCTCCTTAGTAGCACTTCACTCTAGTTCTACTTCATAATGTACACCATTTTGTATTGATGACTTTATCTGGTTAGGTTTTGTTTTCATTTATGTTTCACTAGATGTCTACAATTGAATGCGTTAATATGTGATGCGCAATGTTGGACATTAAGTCTAGCCCTTATCTGATGACTTCTAGCAAGAGAAGAGAATGACAAATTACTGAGTCTATCTGAAGATATAATAGTTAAAAGGAAATTTCATCCAGGGTATATCTGCCAAAATTTCACCCCATTGCAATTTCAAGTTACTGAATTTTGAAAATAAACAAAACTTCTACAAATTGCAACTGATGCAGAAGCAGTTGCATCAAAATTAAAGTTGCAAGCAACCAAACAACCCAGAAGATTAATTTGTAAAAGTCATAAAATATCACAGCAAAAACAATCACATTACCCAACCCTCAATATTTATAGTAACCAGTAAACATAGAAACAACTAGTGCGACTATGTTTTCTTCCCAAAATTAATAAGTTGCATACCTCTCACCTATCCAAAAATCAAATTCTGATAAGTTACACCAGTTATGCAGTGGACAGGTGACCTCCCCCTCTACACTAACAAGGGTATCAGATATGTTCATTTACTGCTGTGTTGATATTGCTTCCTCTGAGCTGCAAAACAACAAACGAATAGATGTAAACTTACTAAACCAACTCTACTAGGAATATGAACCAAAGGAGTAATAGAAAATTTACTAATTTTGTTTGGAACTTAACCTTTACTCCAATAGCCATAGCTGTTTTTAGGTTCACCAATTCACCTAACCTTATGGACCCTCTTTTGTTATCTTTGATAGAGATTATGGGGACATTTCTTGAGGATGCCAGGTTAGGTATATGCTTTGTCAGTGACCGAGGGTTGCAATCCGAAGCTAAAAGGATAGCCTGCAATAGCCGCGAGATAGCTCTAATTATCTGATCATGTTGAATATAAATTATTGGATAGACCATTAGAAATGTCTCCATGAAATCAAACTGACGCATAACTATAGAAGACAGAGCATATAGTCTCTCCAAGTTGAGAAATTTTCTTTCTGGAAATTGTTAGCTTTAAGAATTGTTTAGCTGGTATAAACTATATTCAGGACAGTATGATTTAAGATCATGAAACCTTTTCCTATGACATGAAAACTACCGACAAGAAAGATAAGGTCCTGATGCATGCAAAATAAAGCTACTGTTAAATGGACCAATATGAAACGCAAAGGATATTTGTTCTTAAGCTAAACTCATACCAATTGTATACTAGCTACCTAGCAAAAACAACACCCAAGTGAAAGTAAAATATGAGTAGTAATGTTCTCATAAATCTGAGGACTTTTTTTTAGAGAGAATGCAAATTGTATCGTTTAACTTTTTTGGAATATGAATACATAAATTTCCTATTGAGTATCACAGGTACATTACTTTGTTCTACCATTTAAGAGTTTCCACATACATTATTTTTGTACAAAGATATATATAAGCATTATGTGTATTTATTCTTGGAAAATGTTTTGACCCTGTGTACCGGAAAATTAATAATTCAGTTAGCGTTATTCATGTTTAGAAGGAGACAACCAAAAAATAAAAACCAATTTCCATCAATTTCTTTTGAACACAAGCAAGGATTTCACTGACACTGCACGACGAACATCATGCATAAGAATAATAGAGATTGCAAAATAAAACATTGCATATCAAACTTTTTTAGTGAAGTAATATGCATTATTAATCAATGAAGAAATTATGGAATAGAACAGGACTTATACCTGAAGCGGAACCAATGGAGCTCTTCTAAGAGGTCTTTTAACGCCATCATTATCAGCAAAATTTTGTCCTTCAGACATTCTCTCGAGCACCCTGGTGACATCATTAACCCCGATCGCAAATTGTTGCTGCAAAAATCAAATTCCTCAAAAATCTCAACTTTAATCCCACCATCGTGCATACAGTTCAAATGGGTCACCAAGGAAACAACAAAATCGCATGCCTTCATCCAAATTTTATCAGGCAGTTGCTCCCCTTTCGAAGCTTTTGCTAACTCTATACTCCTACAATTTAAAAAGTAACAACATAATTAAAATTTGCGAACACGGATCGAGTTAGTAACTAAAGTAGAGAAATTTAGCTAACCCGCGGAGATTGTTTAGGAGATCATCAAGCTTGTCTCCTTCATAACAGCTTGAAATGGACCTGTTTGATTAAAACAAACCAAATAAAAGATCATCAAGCTTGTCTCCTTCATAACAGCTTGAAATGGACCTGTTTGATTAAAACAAACCAAATAAAATACCACCTTTAATTAGAAAAAGGGAAAATAAAAGAGAGAGAGAGAGAGAGAGAGAGAGAGATTATGAACTGTTGAGGAGTTGGGTCGAGGTTGGGGTTTGCTTTGAGCGGCTTCTGAGTTTTTTTCTTGCCCATGGCGTTTTCGGACGTGGGGAGAGAGAGAGGGGAAGGGCTTTATAACGAACAATATTGGGCCGGGCCAATGGGCCTACTGGTTTATAACCCCGTCAGCAAACACTGGGCCCCACATCGAGGGGCACTTTGGTCTTTTAGAAAAAAGAGGTTTATACCCCACACACCAAGATCCCTTTTAAGTGCTTTATTCTGTTCTTTTCTTTTCAGAAAACGTCTCCGCCTAAATAATCCTACGCGAAGTGCGTACTCAAAAAAAAATCATACGCATTCAACTTTTAGTTTCTTTAATATTTATTTACATATTTTTTTCCCTTTCTCGTCATGAGAGTTTCCCAAAAAAATCCTTTTGAATATAAGATCTGCTTATAATTGGTCATACGTATAAGTTATACAAATAGTGAGAGAGAGAGAGAGAGAGAGAGAGAGAAGTTTTCGGATGCGAAAACTTCTTCGCACAGCAACAGTGCGAATGAAGCTATGGGCCGTTGGATTTGAGTGAATTGCTGTGACCGTTGGATTTGAGTGAATAACAGCTGTCCCCAACTCTCTCTCTCTCAACCCGTGATCCAATCCCCTAAATTATCTCACAATAACCAAGGGCCTCCTCTTCTTCATCTTCATCCTCCAGGATCTCTCAATTTCGAAAGAAAATTGACAAGCTCAGGAACTCTCTCTCTCTCAACCCGTGATCCCCTCCCCCAACGGATCGCACAGTAACCGAGGGTTCGTCTTCTTCATCTTCATCCTCCAGGAACTCTCATTTGTGGAAGCTAAAAAAAATTCGAAAGAAAATTGACGGGCTCAGCGAAATCCCACGCCATCTTCTTGGTAAATTTCCTTGTATATTCTGAATTTTGATGCTATTAAATTTCCTGATATTCTGCTTTTTCATGCTAATAATTTTCTTGATATTCTGAATTTTCATGCTAATAATTTTCCTGATATAGGTATTTTTATGCTAATAATTTTCCTGATAGTATGAATAAATTTTTCACTGTCTCCACATCATATTTGCCTTAGCTGTAGATATCGTTGATCCAAATTAAGGTTGGGTATGGATGTTACCAAATGTTTCCGTATGCACCTGTACGTACCCTAAGCAGTTCTGTTCTTTTACTTCTTTCCATCACCTCCACCAACCAGTCGACAGCCAATTTAATTCCCATCCTACAGAAACGATGACAAGTTTATAATGAAAATTTACATTAAATTTTGGTTATGTTTCTTTTTTTTCAGTAGAAAGTAATTTAATTCTGATTGTACTATACTAAATAAGACCACCAATGAACTATTAAACATGTAAATGCAATTGAGGTTTACCTATGTACATAAATTGGATTACGTTGTGAGTAGGTGACATCGGGTACGTACACAATCATTTTATAGTGATATCCATTTGTTTGTGGTATGTTTTTTGCAGATAAAAGATGAAGAACTTTTCGGAAGAGTTCAGTGCAGAAGAAGATGAGGGTTTAGTACAAAGAAGATGTTATTGTGGGTTAATTTGCAGAATATGGATGTGCAAGGAAGGACACAATAAGGGTTTGGAATTTTATGGATGCCTGAGATACAAGGGACCTAATTGTAAGGGTTGCAACTTCTTCGAATGGGTGGGTGATACTAAGAACATCACAAAAATGCTGGAAAGGCTAGAAAAAAATGATGATGTTTTGAAAAAAATAATGAATGATGTAATTTTATATTTAAAATTTATAAGTATCGTTGTACTAATATTGTTGCTCTATGTTATAGTCAAATGATAGAGCAACATATTAGTGGATGACTAATGTAAACAAATGTTCAAAATGGTTATGGTTATATGTTATGGTTCAGTTGTTATGGTTATATGACATAGAGTGCATTTGAAGTAGTATTCTGATTGCGACTGGTAATTATTTGGACATCTGTGATGTTGGCGATGAAATTTTATAGAGCAGGTGGCGGAAATATTATTGTCCTGTTTCGAACAAACATAACTTTTGGAAATTAACTCTCTATCCTTCCCATAATTGTACCACATCGTCGAATTTCCATCGATTTGCTCTTTAACACTCCTTCTTTCGAACAAACATAACTTTTGAAAATTAACTCTCTATCCTTCCCATTATTTGTTGTGCTATTACGAATATCAAAACCTCCAGCCTTTCCGTAATTTCTGTAGAATTTTTCAGCGTCCTCTAATTTGCCGAAAGCCATTCCTATTTTTTGTTTTAAGTGCTCATCAACAATTGGCACAATTAAGTTATCTAACTGAGAGATTTGTTCTTCAACAACATGGGAGCAACACTCTTCAGTTTCCATTGGATCAAACATCAAGAATAATATTTACCTACAAAAATAAACACCAAGAACAAACATCAAGAACAATTGAACAAACCATCAAAGACCACTGTGCACAAAAATAAACAAATGAATCCACATGAGACAAGAACAAACATGCTTATATATATATTTGACAGTAAACAGTAAACACCCGCAAATTGGAAGTGCATTGGACCCAAACCCCCGCAAAAACTAATATGTGACTTGGTACCACACTACCAAAGTAAAGAAGTTGCATATGATGCTATTTTTACATATGCAAACTAAAGTTACAACAACTTAAATCCGTGTGAGCTACAATATGTCAGAAACCAATTCCTCATACACTATAGTACCTTGCTCTCTCGTATATAAAGTTTCAGGTAACTATGGTCAGCTAGCACTACGAAGGTTTTTACCAACTTGGGTTCAACTCGAATTGGGATGAAAATCGATGAGTTGAATGGATTATTCAATTGGACAAAATTTGAAGACCGGCGAGATCGACTGTTAGGCCTCAATTGGACAAAATCGATGAGTTGAATGGATTATTCAGGTAACTATGGTCAGCTAGCACTACGAATGTTAGGCCTCAAATTCTACAGAAAAGAAATCGATGAGTTGAATGGATTATTAAATTGGACAAAATTTGAATTACAGAACACAACTAATCAAACAGCTAATTTAGGTCCAACCTGGAGCTTGTTCAGTGCCGAAAACTTCTCAGTGGAGCAAAGAGGAGAGGAGGGGTTGGGGAGCTCGACGGCGAGATCACGGGGGTGAAGACCGGCGGCGACGGGGCTCGCGGGCTTGGCTCCGACGGAGGCGAAGACCGGCGGCGAAGGGGCTCACGGGCTTGGCTCCGACGATGGTGAGGACTGGCGGCGAGCTGGCGGCGATATGAGAGGGAGCGGAGGAGGAGGTCAGAGTCGTAGTCGTAGTTGGTCGGGGGAGAGGGTGGAGGGTTTGAGAGAGATTGGGTTCTGGAGGAGAGATTGGGTTCTGGAGGGTACGGGGAAGAGAGAGGGTGAGGTACAGTAACTTGGGAATTGGGGATGAAAACTCAGATCCAACGGTAGCAGCAATTCACTCAAATCCAACGGCGCCATAGCTCCATTCGCACTGTTGCTGTGCCGAAGAAGTTTTCGCATCCGAAAACTTCTCTCTCTCTCTCTCTCTCTCTCTCTATATATATATATATATATATATATATATATATATATATATATATATATATATTATATATATATATATATATATATATATATTTATATATATATAAAACTTATACCTATATGAGAACTTTTAAAAGAAAAAGGTTATAAATACCAAAAACAAAGAAGATGTAAATATTGACTTGAAAATTTTCATGCGTCTAAGCTTCCTTAAACTACAAAAGTTGATAATACCAAAAAAAAAAAAAAGATGTTTGCATACCTGATGGCAAAAGAGTATTGAAGAGGTAGAGAGAAAAGTAAAGAGCAAAAAAAAAAAAGAAAAGGTTATTTAATCTCTGAGTTGAGGTATGTTCACAGATGAGGAAACTTCATTTATTATACGGTTAGTGTTAACCTTGGAGTTCAGAAAATATTGTAATAACTAATTTTTTTTTCAGAAGAAAATTAGATCATGAAACAATTTAACTGTTACCATATGATTTTGGATTGTTCTATCTGATTAAAGCATGAACATGGCTGAACATTAATAATATAAATTTGCGGACGGACAGAACACAGCAATTTTGATGTCATTTTTTATTGACTTAACCACGTAGACAACAAAAGCTACACACCTTCAAGCAACCAAGACCTCACACTCCACCGACATAATCGTATTAAACCCTCACACAACAAAGCTCTAATGGGCTAAACCTTGGGCCACCACCTTACCAGGCCCAGGAGCAACAGGCGGGCCCGTACGCGGCGGAGGAGAGCTTAAAGAGCCGGACGACTCAGCATCGCAGTATCCCCTAAGTACGTCGCCCTCCTCAGCAGTAAAGCCCAGTACACCCAACATGGTTTGTGCGGCCCAGCACTTGTGCTCGATGACCCGGATGGCGCGGCAACAGCTTGGGCCGAGGAAGGTCTCGCCGTTGAGGAAGAAGAGGACGACCTCACCGCTGCATGATTTGAGCTCCATCAGGGATTCCCAGCACTGGGCCGTGCCGTCGGCCTGCAAACGGGCTGATAACGGCGGCACGGGCCAGAGCCAAAACTGAAAGAGGCTAGGAGGAGAACGAGACTGTGGCGTAGGATTGGAAGCTTGCCATTTTTTGAATTGGAGGTGGGGTTTTGGTTGGAGAAAATTTGGTAGGGTTTGTGTGTTATTATATAGTAATTTGTTGGGAGATTAAGAGCTTAACGTTTTCATTGTGATTGGTGTAATTTTTTTTTTTTTTTTTTTTTTGCATTTAGTGGAGGGTGGAATTGGAAGGGAGAACGTGCGGTATGTGAAAGATTGATGTTGGTTTGTGTTGCATGTAATTATTAATGGATTCAATGTTAGGTAACGGAGGAAATAAAGTTTAGAATACTATGGTATATAATCATGACTTAATGCAGACTTATGTTAATCATGGCATATAATTAACTTAGACCTCCTGCAAGCTCAATCAAGTTCTGAAGCTTCCCGTTTGGTGTTCCGCAGTTCTTCTGAACCTCCACTTGGCTTCTGTTGCATCTTATCAATTTGCAAATCGCTACGGTATTCTTAACTTCTCTCTAGATAATGTTCGTTTGAAAAATCTCACTGAGCTTGAAACCTTGACTTCTATAGATGTTTCCGTATCTGCTTAGCAAAATTATTAATGTAATTTAGTTCAAAGTCAAAATTAAGGATCTCATGCTTACAGTAATCATACTTTCCCTAATTAACAGGCAGACACAAGCAGATATAATGAACATCTCAGCCAACCTGATGCCTTCATTAGACTTTGCCTAGGTCAATAGCAGGCAAAATCTGAATCAAAATCAACCCTCCAACAGATCACAACTAGATATTTCACGCCCCTAGATATTTTCATGATGCAGCTACTTTTAGGGAAATCCATCGCCAAATTTAACAATACACTGCGGTCGACGACCCCTACTACATGTTGGCACATTCTTACACCTCTGTCAACATCTTCAAATGTCGTCCTGTTGGTCAATAGGGAAATCCCCATGATCTCAACCTTGCGGCAAGTTAACAAGATACCGCTGCCATATTAGTGGTTGCCTGCTACATTTAGCATTAAACTGAGGGTATTGATTTGTCAACTCCGATTATGTGGGTTGTTTTCACTAATCCGATTATGTGGGTTGTTTTCACTACTTCATTTCTTTTCTTCCTACGAGCCCTGTTATCCATTCTAAGAACCTGGTATTGGTTTTATTTCCTTCTTCCAGAAAATAGCGCCAATGTCATAGCCAGATCAGCTTTAATTATATTCAGGAGCTAGAAGAATTGAGTTATTGCCAAACTTGTAGTTCTGCTTTCTTGATTAGTAGAATTGACTGCCTCGTACTTTTGATTTATTATAACTATCATTATTATCATTATTTATTCTTCGTGTCCGAGGGACTGGAGTTGTAGTAGTTACTAGATGTTCACACGTTGAATCATATATGAGGTTGCTTTCTCTCATTTAATTGATTAAACTTGTTGAATCATTATTATCATTATTTATTCTTTGTTTACTATGTTGCTCTCAACTTACTATCGCAGCCTGCCTGCGGTGTTGTGTGGCGATAATACGTAAATCAATTCCGTTTGAACACAAAAAAAAAACCAATTCTTGTTTGGACAAATTTTCAAAACCGACCCTTTTGGGTTTTTAATTGCAAAAAACGACCGGTTTTGAAAATATTTACAAAAAACGACCTGCTTAGCTGAAAACAGGTCGGTTTTTTTAAATTTTTTTGGGAAACTTCACGGGAGTTGAACTCCCGTGAAGTTTTTCTCATAACAAAACTTCACGGGAGTTGAACTTCCGTGAAGTTTGGAAAAAAAAAATTCAAAAACCGACCCAGTTTCAACTAACTGGGTCGGTTTTTATAAATAAAACTGAAATAGGTCGTTTTTTGCAATTAAAAATCCAAAGGGGTCGGTTTTGAAAATTTGTCCATTCTTGTTTAGAAGGAGACAACCAAAAAAAACCAATTTCCATCAATTCCTTTTGAACACAAGCAAGGATTTCACTGACACTGCACGACGAACATCATACATAAGAATAATAGAAATTGCAAAATAAAACATTGCATATCAAAAAAATTTAGTGAAGTAATATGAATTATTAATCAATGAAGAAACTATGGAATAGAACAGGACTTGTACTTGAAGCGGAACCAATGGAGCTCTTCTAAGAGGTCTTTTAACGCTATCATTATCAGAAAAATTGTCTCTCAGACATTCTCTCGAGCACCCTGGTGACATCATTAACCCCGATCGCAAATTGTTGCTGCAAAAATCAAATTCCACAAAAATCTCAACTTTAATCCCACCATCGTGCATACAGTTCAAATGGGTCACCAAGGAAACAACAAAATCGCATGCCTTCATCCAAATTTTATCTGGCAGTTGCTCCCCTTTCGAAGCTTTTGCTAACTCTATACTCCTACAATTTAAAAAGTAACAACATAATTAAAATTTGCGAACACGGATCGAGTTAGTAACTAAAGTAGAGAAATTTAGCTAACCCGCGGAGATTGTTTAGGAGATCATCAAGCTTGTCTCCTTCATAACAGCTTGAAATGGACCTGTTTGATTAAAACAAACCAAATAAAAAACCACCTTTAATTAGAAAAAGGGAAAATAAAGAGAGAGAGAGAGAGAGAGAGAGAGAGAGAGAAAGAGAGAGATTATGAACTGTTGAGGAGTTGGGTCGAGGTTGGGGTTTGCTTTGAGCGGCTTCTGAGTTTTCGTTTTCTTGCCCATGGCGTTCTCGGACGGGGGAAGAGAGAAAGAGAGAAGAAGGGGGTATAACGAACTGTATTGGGCCGGGCCTGTGGGCCTACTGGTTTATAACCCCCGTCAGCAAACACTGGGCCCCGCATCGAGGGGCACTTTGGTCTTTTAGTAAAAAGAGGTTTAGTGGGTGTTTGTTTCACCAAAAATTTTGGCATTTGGTATGAATTATAAGCTTTGGTATAAAAAAAGCGAGTTAATTTGTATTTTGGGATTCCATATATGGTGTTTATTTTAAGAAAATTTTTAGAATATTAAATCTCAAAGTGCGCAATTTTTAAAATTTGTCAAATGCTCTCAATTAGAGAGGATTTTGACAAATCCCAAAAATGGGTGTGCTTACCTCTTAATTGGAGAGGATTTGGAGAGGATTTGACAAATTCTAATTTTGTCTTTTTATGGGAGGTAACCTCACCAAGATAGCATATTCATCATATTATAAAATTTTAGTATTTGGTAATGCTATAATTTGAGCTTAAACAAACAAAATATTACAAATTGCAGTATTTCAAATCCCAAAAATATTAATGAAACAAAAAATATTTTAGAAATCCAAACCCATAACAAAACACCTATGGATTTCAAATCTCATGGTGAAATCCATCTCCTAAAATTATAGGATTTGAAACAAACACCTCCTATACCCCACCCACCCACCAAGATCCCTTTTAAGTGCTTTTTTCTGTTCTTCTCTTTTTCAGAAAACACCTCCGCCTAAATCCTACGCGAAGTGCTACTCAAAAAAATCATACAAATTCAACTTTTAGTTTCTTTAATATCTATTTACATATTTTTTTCCCCCTTCTCGTCAATCCTAATTTTAATTTTAATTCTAAGCTGGGCGTTTGGGAATGCACTGGACATACTTGACCATGTCATATGAGTTTCCAAAAAAAATCCATTTGAATATAAGATCTGCTTATGGTCATACGTATAAGTTATACAAACAGTATACGTATATATATATATATATATATA